AATTACTAAATAATAGTCAGCACAGAGTATAGGTAAATCCTTTACGAAATCGTTACTGGGGCCTTTGCGCTAGTCAGCAAGCCTCCCCTGCTCTGCACTCAGGCAAGATAAAGCTTTAATAAGGAATATTTTTCTGCAGTTTGTTGATTTTAATGCTATGGTTTTAGCTTGATTTAAAGTTTACAGAGACGACCACAATATCACTCCCCCCCCCCATTCCCCTTGAGGCCCTCCTCTCCCTGGGAAGTACTTACAGTTGTGCAGTTGTATTTTCCTGCTTCATGTAAAAGTTGTAATTTAAGGTTTCTGGTATTGTATGGCATATTTCATCAAGCCAAACTCCCTATCTTTTCCTCCTGCATTTCCCCTCCACATATCATACTAGTACAATTAGTCATCACCTGTTATATCATTGTCTTTTTACTGTTTACACAATAAGGTGCATCTTAATACATTCCAATACAGATTTTGTTGAGTTATTTGGACAAAGTATATTTTTATTGCTTTGTTTTATTTACATGATTGGTAATGTTCCCATTTTCTTTCATTTATATGGGTAACTGTGATAAAGTTTCAAATTAATCATCACTTGGGGTATTAAAACCATTAAATATGCGATGGTAAATTTTCAGAAATATTTTAGGGGCACTGATGTATTGGATAGAGGTTGCCAGTAATGATTACAATAATTATGATAGTAAAAGGATGATAATTATCATTATTTTCATCTCCTTATTTGTTTATATTTTTTTATATTATTATTTTATTATCACTATTCTTATAATTATTACTTGTTTATTGTTATTATTATTATTATGAATTTTGTTGATGCTGTTTGTTATTGTTATATTTATTTCTTTTGTTATAATTGTTTTGAAATATTAACATTGATATCTATATTGTTGTTGTCATTGTTAGTATGTATATTATATTGTTATGGTGTATTATCTTATACTATAGTATTTTTTGTGACATTGTTATTTGTTGTTGTTATCATTATTATTATTATTATTATTATTATTATTATTGTTATTATTGTCATTATTTTTATTATTGTTATTACTTCTTATAAAGTTATTATATTGTTGTTGATTATTGATTATTGATTATTGTTTTTACCACTACTAATATTACTCAGTTTTGTTGTTACATATGTGGTAATCATGATGATGGTAATTTATTATTATTATTATTATTTTTTTTTTTTCATTATTAGTATATTTGTTTGGTTAATTATTAATTTGTTATTAGGTAACTTAGTAGTAGTAGTATCATTTTTATTGTGATTTTTATTTTGTTATATTAACCTGATGCCACTGGGGATAGCATTTTTGTACATAGTCTGCCTATGGCAAGTTTAGTCAATTGTCTTTATACATAGATGGTTCCACAATTGCTGTCATCAATAAACCAATTACTAGTACTGCTGGCTCAACATATTTATCCTTTTCCTTGATTTTCAATTTTTTATATAATCTAGGAGCCTATTATTTTAGCAGTGTCAATAATATTATAATTAAGATTTCAATAATATTATTATTAATAACAGCATTGATATTGAGTACTGCAACCATTACTGCGCTGTTGGCTCATTGGACGGAGCTTGTCTTTCAATGATATTAGCGGCTTCATTTCTATGGTAAAGCTTTTAGGCAATAGCACCTAAAGTGAAAGTAAACCTTCAAATTTTTTATATTTTAAAAATTTATAGCAAAATAAAAGCTTTTGGGTGCCAAATGTCACACACACTACCGAAAGAGCCAGGCGCAAACAAAATAACTGTCAATGCATGCCAACAATCCCATGATCATGTTCACTTACCAAATTTTTTTACCTGGGGTTATTGGGTTAACTTCAGGTGATGCTAAGTAATTGTTTATTTTGTCTCCAGAGTCCTTTTTTATATTAGTAAGATGTATACATATAGTATACTTTATAGAAACTACCCTGGTCAAAGGTTTCAAACAAACCATTTTCCTCAAGTATTCCATAACTTGATAGATGATGATAATATTTGACTTAATATTATTTGCTGCAATTCGAGTTGAGGCCTACACTTATCATTTATAACCATTATTCAAATATACCTACCGCTGAGTACATTGGTATTGACATTTGTTGAGTGGAAAGTTTAACTCGAAAAAATGTATTTGATTAAATTTGACAGTTACCTTGAGTAATGGTAATTGCTACCTTTCGGGTTTACATTTTCATCAATTTCTAATTAAATTCCTCATGCACCATTAATCACAGTTGTTCTGGCAGAAAATTTGAATTATAGGGGATTTTCCATTTCTGTGGAAAAAAAGTGCAGCTGTCTCTCACCATACAGTCACAAAAGTTTATTAGGGAACAAATTCTTTCATAAAGAAAACTACTTTGGCTCTACCTGTATCTTCGATTTATTTTTATACAATCATGGTAATTAAGAGTAGCCTCCCATCTTAGAAACTGTCCTTTATTTGTTAAACAGGTTTTGTGGTTATAAAAGTGAGTGATGAGAAAAATGGAGTTTAAACATTTTCAGCAGTTTTATGCGTATACCTGCTTTTACCTCTCTCAACTCTTGTTTTGAATATTTATTCCACAGGCACATTTATTGATTGTATATAGGAATGTTGCTAATAGAAATATATTATACAGAACTGAAGGCATTAGTTGGTTAAATCATTCTTTTATTGTGCAGTAAATTATTTTATAAGGTGTTACCGGTGTGTGGGTTAGATTTTGTGATGTAAAGAAGATTAATGTGTCGTTTGGCTATGATGCTAGTGAAAGAGGGTGTGGTGTACTATATATTCAGACTGATCAGACTATATTGTTTGTGTCTCATTACTTGTATATATGTTGAAACAGCAAATTCAAAATGTTTTTTGGGGACATGATTTCTTGTAACATCCAAAGATGTTTCTTTATTGCATGCGATAGATAGTCTATCTATGAAAGTTCATTAAAAGATGTCAGAGAGATGTAGCGTATCTTTTATGAAATTTTCTTTAATTGTATGTTATTCTCCTATTCACATAAAAGGTAATTGGTGTAATCTATATTTTACTTCAGAATAACATTTTTATGAATTGCTATTTCTCCCTGTTCCAGATCTGGAGTGGAAAATAATATATGTAGGTAGTGCTGAAAGTGAAGACTATGATCAGACCCTTGATACAGTGTATGTTGGACCAGTGCCAGAGGGGAAACACATGTTTGTATTTCAGGTATGTTGACATAAATTTTCACATGTCTACATTATGTTATTAACCTGTTGATGCTGGCTTTATTAACATTGTTCAAACATAAATGGCTTCAGAATTACTTAAGGAGTTGATTTTGAAGCTTACCTGATCTAACTTTTTTACCTTTTTGGGGGGGTATGATATTATAATGATAATTCTTTTAATGATGAAAATGATGTTACTAATGATAGTAATGCTATATGAAATTAGACTTAAACAGTTGTCATATAGGTCTAGTAATTGACTAAACACTTTAAAATCCATCTGGGTGTAAACAAAATTAACTGAGCAAAATAAACTATAATTGACAGGGCATTTATTTTGTGCCATCGATTTAAGGTCAAAATTGCAATTGAATCTTTTTAAATGATGTTTTCATGACTTGAAAATGACCTGCCCAGTTGGAATGAGTTATGTATAGGTTAACCTTGACAGGATTGCAGTTGGTTATTATGTTAAGTGTATTCCTATAATGAGTTAAAACATTTCCAATTTTGGTGTAGTTCAATTTTTCTAAGACAACATCTTTTAAGTGTGAGACTTGGGAATAGAAAACATACTCAGCTATTTGATATAATGCTTACTAAATATTTAAATGATTAAAAGTGGGCAACCCATTTTGAAATAATCTGTAGTGAATCAAGTAATAGTATTTGGTGATAGCAATACACATCTTTATTTCAGGCTGATCCACCAGATCATTCAAAAATACCAGTTGGTGATGCAGTAGGCGTGACGGTTGTGCTGTTAACTTGCGGGTACAAAGGACAGGAGTTTGTAAGAGTTGGTTATTATGTGAATAATTCTTATACCGACCCTGAACTTCAAGAAACCCCGCCTGATGTCCCACAGTTTGAAAAGGTAGAGAGAGTTAATATTTTTTCATTGTGATTACTGTTATTAAGGTCCAGATTATATGGGGCTGGAAACCATTAGTTGTGCCTAGTTAGTTAATGGTCTCAGTTCCAGTAAACCAAAATACAAAATTCATGCAAGTCATTGCCTTTGAAAAAGAGTCTGGTAAACATGCTTTGCATTTATTGATGTTTATGATATAGTAAAAAAATAAAAAATTATATTACTTTTAGCCTTGAAATATATTGTGGTATTTTGATGATCTGTCTGTAATTTCTAGCCATGATTCCCATCATGATATGTAGAAGCATTTTATTTCCTTCTTTCTAGAAATACATAAACTCTTTATCAAAAGTAACTTGGAACCTCGTCCCAAGGCACTGATATAGTGAATATATAAATACATGTGTAAAATAAAACATTTCATGGAGTTATGCTGCTGATTATATAATACCTATGAATGTAGTTTATTTTTTGGTTGTCCAGCAAGCACTAGGTCTTAATAGATTCTTTGTGTGTTAAAATATGCAAAAGTATGTTCTTAATTTCATTTACTTGACTTCATCTCAAGTCAGATTTCATCTTTGTGAATCCTTATAGCATCTTACTAGATGTATCACGTGACTGGAATTTAAATCTCACTTAGTCATAGTTGCAGTACTTCCACCCAAACTAGGACGTGTGTGTAATGACATTGATCTTAAAGAAAGTCATACTTTTGTAACTGTAATATTGGTTTTAAGCTCTGGTTGTTTTGGAGTCTGTGGACAATAGGAGACGGGTAATTTCTAGTCAGCATTTTTTACTGTTTAAGGGGACCGTCCCTGAGAATGGCCACCTTTCCCTACTCTATACATCATAAAAAAATATCGGTTAGAGATAACTGATTGATTCTTTTTGCATGCTATAGAGTAAAGAATTGCGCTCCGTTATATATATAAATTTTAACTTTGCTCCCCCATTGGGGGGGGCACCCCCAAAAAAAGTTGAAAAAAATCGCTGTATTTTTTGGTATGTCTTCGGTACATCCCAACTATCAGAGCTCTTTACAGAATATTTCCCCAAAAATGCTAGTGTTAGATCAACTCTAGCCTATAGCCATGTAAAAGGCCGAATTTTGAATTTCCTTTTTTTTTTTTTGGCGGGGGACAGCTTGACATAGAGAACTATTTTTGAATGCGTTTTTCAGCATTAAAATATTATTATTTTTTGATTAAGGCAAAAATTCAAAAATCGGCCTTTTACATGGCTATGGGACGCCGAGGCTCTAGTGAAAGCAACAAACTGCATTTGGATCGCATGAAAATTACGTGAGTTGGGAAGTACCGAAGATTCATAAAAAAATGGCGGAGCTACGGCGTTTTGTATTTGGCACCTTGCCAAAGTTCGTTATCTCTGTTATTTTTCTCTGAATCTAATGATATTATATATAAAAAAATGCTTATTTAGTGTACTTTGCAATGCAATGATTACCAAAATAGGAATTTTCATGTTCAATAGGGACGCTATTCTGTAAAGGTATGTCACTTTTTTTTTTTTTTTTTTTTTTTTTTTTTTTTTTTTTTTTTCGTTGTTCATTAAAGTTGATATTTTCGTGTGAAAAGCTTAATAAATGCATTTTACCACAGAGACAACTAATCTAAACCAGATAAAAACCTTTTTTTTTTTTTTTTTTTTTTATTATTATTTTTTTTTTTTTCTCTTTTGAAGAAATGGGGAACTGTGGATGGCAACATTAGTACAAAATCATTCTAATTATAAAGTCCTGGCATGAATACAACATGGTGGTTCAATTTTGAGTATTTCAAAAGCATATGAATTTAGTACATTGAATTCGAGAACTTATGAAAGGTTGAATATTCCCCATGCCTTACACAGGGGGGGGGGGGGAGATGGTCACTGGGTGTTTATAATTTTCGAGGAGGATCATATGTACGTGAACGCACGCACATAAAGTTAAAAAGATTAATCATCATCATTTAGTAGGCCTACATTGACTTTCATATCTAAATAATAAAATTTATTAGTTATCCCTCTCATACCCATTTTCTTTGATAATTGTCAATATTAACAGATTGCAAGGGAGAACAAGTATAAAGTTTATGATTAGCCATTTGCACCCATTATCTTTACTAAGAAGTGCATAAAATCATGCAGACGCCTATGTGTTGTGGGATATTTGCCAATTTATGGTGCCTAAGACTTACGGTAACGTCTAAACATATTCATTTTTATCGGGAACGCACGAAACGGATGCGATAGCTTTTTGAACGCCAGACGAAGACTATGCATACAACCGATCTCAAAATTCCATATAGTTTTTATTTCAGAGCAGGTATTACTGAGTACTATCATCTTCAACATAATAATGCATCTCGCTTATACATCCGAAGTTTAAAAATCCGACATTTATGTAACATTCGTATTGAATTGGTCTTTACAACGGTAACTACCAATTTGAAATCAATTCAAATTGCCCCCTGCTGTGATGTACCGACCGTTGAGCGAAATGTAACGGAAATATTTCAATCCTTCCTTATAAGGCTATTTTTAAACATTAGTGCTTCGTATGTGATATACGTATATATTACCACGTAAACTAAAACATATTACCAGGGAGTCTCGATCAAAGCATATTTCGTATGTAAAAGGACTCAAAACACATTTTTTTTTTAGATATATTTCACAAAATATTTCGTCATAAATCACGGTGATATAATTTTTTCCTGATATTGGTATAAAAGTGTTCCTTGAACATTCACAAACTCATATCTATGCGCAATGTCATAATTAAATGCCTTATGCACGATTGCCGCAAGCAAAAGTCCACATAGGTGTACCTGGGTGCTCAATAGCGACGTACCTCTCCGGGTGCTGAGGGACTCGCACGCCGGCTGCAAGACAACGAGCCATAGCAGGCGGTTAATACTCGTTTGGTAGTTTCCTCATCCATGTACCTATACTATACGCTATCTTAATTTAACCCCCTCCCCCCCCTCTCTCAGGGACGGTCCCCTTAAGTGAACTTCCAGTTCATAATGGGAATAGTGATAGAAAAAAATTCTCTTTAATTTGTTGTGAATGTTCTGAAAAATCTTATTTTCTCGCTTGTCTTCTAGCTTTTCCCTTTTTCATTTAAATGCAGTATGTTATTCTAGAGGAATTTTCTATAGATTTCATTATACTCAGCGTCTAATTATTAAACATTGTTTGCTTTTTACAGCTTCAGAGAAATATCTTGGGAACACAGCCACGTGTCACAAAGTTCAAAATTGACTGGGATGATGCAAAGGACTCAGAAAATATCCCACCCTCAGAGAACGCAGCAAGCGATGGTGCCTCCACTTCACAGAATTCTACAGATCTCAAAGGCGTAACTGCGATGGAGAGCAGTAATAGTGCTTGTGCCATGGAGGTGGCATAAATTTTTGATTTTTAGGTCAATTTTTCTATACTGCTTAAACCCTTTCATATTGTAATTGTGAATGTTTTGTATTCAGTGCAACTAGATAAGCAGGTATTGTACAGTCTTTTTGCCTCCCATTCTGACATGATTTTGTGATAAAATTTTGCATAGGGAATAGTTTTCCAGTTAATTACTACTTTTTATATGAAGCAAATATTGATTCATTTTATTTCTTACAGTAGACTATTTATATTATATTCGTCTTTACTTTGTTCATAAAAGATTTTTATTTTCACATTTTTGTTCAAGTGTTATGCAGTCCATCATATGTTCATAAAGCCACTGTTTATAATTAAAAAAAAAACAACCCACCCGTTACCCCTAATACATAACAAACCTCCCCATATCAAATACAAATGAAAAAACAATTTATTCAAGGAAGAATACAAAAAGATTATCAGTAAAGAGCCTAAAGTAATAATGGCGAAAGTAGAGCTAGATAGTTATTAAATTTTCCTGATACCAAAGAGTTAAACAAAGAAATAACTATGGTAGAATTAAAAACAATAAATAAAACCAAGAACAGAAAGGCTTATGGGCCAGATAAAGTAACACGAATTTTATTTTAAAAAAAGCACCTGATAACACTTTAAAACTAATACTAAAAGAAATTAACAATCAGTGGTTAAAAGGAGAATATCCAAACAATCTAAAAAATGTACTAGTAAACTCAATAATAAAACCTGGGAAAAATCCAGCAAATGTAAACTCATACAGATTTATAAGTAGGATTTCAAGTATAGGAAAGATATATGAAAATATTGTAACAAACTGAATAAATTGATGGTTAGAGAAAAACAAAAAGCTAGATGAAGACCAGACAGGATTTACAGCCATATCCCTAGTCCTTCGCCATTGTCATGGTCATCGTATTGATGCAACCATCGCAAGATACTACGGACAGTGACCATGAGGTATCCCTAGTCCTCTTTCAAATGTGACCGCGATATGTTAGAATGACAATTACCAACCTATGCAAATTACTTTACATGTAGTTTGTAATTACGCCGTTACGAGGGATTTAAGTAGGTTTACATATAATGAAATTGTTGAATGTACTTGATAAAACACCAACATTAATTTATAGTAATACATTTTAATCAAATCGGTAATTATATGAAATAGAATTCTGATGATCAGTTGGTAAGTCGCAATGGAGTAAACAAACTTCAGTTGCTGCTATGGAGCCAAAGGAGCGTGCCCTGCCTTTCGCTCAGGTAAACTGGTGACCTTTATGAAGCTCGTGCGCGAGGAGGAGGCTGTGATAAATGACGAGTCCACAGCCCCAGGTTCTACAGACAGGAAGAAAGCAGCATGGCAGTCGGTTGCAATGGCGTTTAATGCATGCAATCCTGGCCAGAATCCTCTACCAGGCACCAGCTGAAGAGTTTTGATCATGTAAAACGGAACTAACGTAACAAATTTTATCACCATTATGCAAATTTGGCATTATGTATAAGATGTATAATTTTATATTTGATAAATACTCAACATGAACATTGCTAAAGTCTTTGTTGGTTAATAATACAGATTAGGGTCAGTGTCAGAAACATGTGTTTACACATTGTAAATAAAGAGAACGGAGTATTTTAATAGAATCTTATAGATAAGTTGAAATGACAAGGTAGAGATGTTCCTTTATCTTTATCTGAAACAGTTTTTGATTGTATTTATTTTTTATTACCCCCCCAAACCCTTGCCCGTTGTTGTCGTGGGGGGGGCTTAGGAGACGAAGACTGAGACCCAATACAGGGATCTCCCCTGCCTAGGGCCTCAGCCCTCGACTCAACTAATTTTGCATGGGCTTTTTCCTCTCCAGCTTTTGTTTCCGTCTCTTCTCCATCCCCTTCTGCTATCTACTTCCTAAGGTGTGAGAGCCGTGCTGAGAGGATGAAAGGCTGACCTAGTGCCAGTCCTGAACGGCTTGCGGGAACTATGGGCACGGTATTCCTGACTAATCTAGCCCTTACCTTTAGTAGCGAAAGGAGGTGGACCGATTAGGCCTATTTACATAATCCAGGTTCCCCATGACCAGCAATGAAAATGTAATCCCTTTATTAGAGGCTATGAGGCTAGCCCCTTTATCAAATAGCCCCAACCCAGGGTCTCCTTTGACCACGGCTCCGAACACTGAAACTACTACCCACTCCTCAATGCCTACTAGTGCATTACCACCCAAGCAGAGAATCAATCTCCAGAAGACATTCCTACCCACCCAACTTCCTCAAATTCAACTCCACCCCTGCAACCTTCATCAAGCAACCAATCCTCCCTTATTACTACCTTGCAGCCTTTTCTCCATCATTCCGTAATACTCCCTCTTCCACACGTCCCCGACCACCACCACCAACCCTACAGATATCTTAAATACTCTGTTTAGCCCAGCTAAATGGGACCGATTTTTCGTGATCCCTGCTACAGCTCCTTACTCAGGTAACACTCTTCTCTTTCAACAATGCCTCCAAAAACAAGTAGGCAGAGTCCCTTTCTATACCAGACGCGATCGCTCCCGTCTGGTAACAGTCAGATCAGAAACTGAATCTATAGCACTGTCAAATTTAACAGATCATTCTGGCAACCCCATTCCTGCAGAACCTCATCCAACCCTTAATACCTGTACCGGAACTGTCTCTCTCTCCCCAGCAAACTGCCCAGTCGATACCAAAGATTGGTCAGACTGTGGAGAAGACTTATTAGGATGCCTCAAAGACCAAGATGTGAAATCAGTACATTGCTACACCATTCCTCCTAAAGGTCAACGAAAGAATCCGACCAATATTGCCAAAATTACCTTCCGTACACATGACCTTCCCTTACGTATCTACATTGGTGGACAATCCCTCCCTGTTCGACCATACCAACCCCCTCCCCGTCAATGTCAAAACTGTTGGCGCTCTGGACATCCTGCCAAACATTGCCGTTCCACAGACCGATGCCCCATATGTGCCCAACCTGGTCATAATCGATCAAACTGCTCAGCACAAATACGAACATGTGCTAACTGCGGCGGCCCCCATAATGTATTTTATAGAGGCTGTCCCACTTATAAATTTGAATCTGAGGTAGCAACTCTCAGATACAAAAATGGTCTCACTTTACGTGAAGCCAGACAGGAAGCACGTCGACAAGGTTTCTCTCATATTCCATATTCTAGCAACATCGTTCGCTCAACCCTTCCCCCTCCACCCAAAAATGTCCCCATTTCCACTTCTACATTCTACATCCCTCAGACCAATTCCTTTGCCACTCTAAACCCAGACACCCCAATCTCAACCACAGCTCCTATCTCAACTACAGCCCCAACACCAACCCTCTTCCTCCCGCACTACCCGCAGTAGACAGACTAAACGTTCTAACCCTTCTTCCCCTACAGCACAATCACCTCCTCCTACCTATACCTTTGTTCCTGAGACACCAGTCTCCTCTTCTCCCCCTCATAAGAAAACCTTTATTCCACAAAACTCTCCAACCAATTCCATTGCAGAAACAATTACCTTCTCACAAAACTCTCCAACAAACTCCACTGCAGAAACAATGGATGACATTCAAAGCTATATGCTTGAGACACAAAATCCCATAACTCATGCTCCTTCCACACTTGAAGTGGTTGCCGATATTCATAACCCTCCTACTAATATTCCCCCTACACCCTTCCTCCTACTCCCTCCCAACACAACCTAACCCCCTCAATCCCAATCACCACTGATATCCATCCTCCTGATATGCATCCCCCTCTTACTCACAGCACCCCTACACCCTTTCTCCTAATCCCTCCCAAGACAACACATCCCCTTCAACTCCAACTATCCATCCTTCTGATATTCATCCTCCTAACACTAATACTCCCCACACATCTACTCCCTCCCAACACAACCCACCCCCTTCAACCCCAACTATAGGCACATTCTCCCTCCCTCCATCCCCTCTATCCTTTGCACTCCCTCCCGGATACACACGAGAATCACTCATGTCACAACAATGCCCTTCTCCAGACTCCCTACCTCCTAATATCCCTCCTTTACACCCCCTAGCTCCCTTCCCCTTCAAATTCCCCAACACATAAATGTGTTATCATTCATAAATCAACTAGGATATAGCTCTCCTACATTGGAATATTCGCGGTTTCCGCTCTCATAGATCAGACCTACGTCATATCCTTGCTTCTTATAATCCATCTATTATCTGCCTCCAAGAGACTTTCCTCACACACCCTCCTATTCCAATTCCTAATTACCATTTTATCTCTTCCCCACACTCCCTTTATGTCTCGTCTATACTTATCCATCATAAAACACCTTATGTCATACCTCCCATACAAACTTCTGTCCCCGTGCACAGCTATTCACATCTTTCTTCGCCGCTGGATCACAGTGATTTCAGTCTACTTCTCCCCATCCCATCCCATTGACTTTACTGCCTTTGAGACTCAAATTTCCCAACTCCAACCACCTTTCCTCGTAGTTGGTGATTTCAAACTGCCGCCACGCTCTGTGGGTGACTCTACCACCAACTCCCGAGGCCGATCTCTATAACGCTTCCCTCTTCACAAATAACCTAATTATTCTTAATTCAGATCGCCCCACACACTTGACATGCGCACACAATCCTTTTCATGCCTTGACCTCTCTCTATGCTCTCCTACTTTACATCTAGATTTCCATTGGTCAGTTCTAGACCACTTCCCCTATAGTGACCACTTCCCAATACTCCTTTCTCCTACTTCATATGTACCACTTCCTAATCCTCCACGCTGGTGCTTTGATAGAGCTGACTGGCATACTTTCACTTCACTCTCTACTATACCTATCCCTCCACCCCTTACCGTCCATTTCAGATATGCTACATTGTTTTACAACCACGATCTTAAGAGCTGCCTATACAGCCATTCCTCGAACTTCAAGACCCTATACTTCTAAATGTGTTCCATGGTGTTCTGATTGCACCAAAGCGCTCCGCTTTAAAACGAGCAGCCTGGAACAGCTTTCGCTACAAACGAGGCACCCCTCACCAGCTATCAGCCCTTATTTCCTTTAAAAGAGCATCTGCCCATCTTCGCCGTACAATTAAAAACAGCAAAACAAGTAGCTGGCAAAATTATGTTTCCTCAATTACATCTTCTACATCTATTTCAGCTGTTTGGCGACGGATCCATAAACTATCAGGCAAACATCCCCCCCATCCTGCACCCGTCCTCCATATTCGAGATATTCTCATCTCTGAGCCTGTAGAAGTAGCTAATGAACTGGGCAACTATTTCAGCCAGGTCAGTAGTGGCTCTC